AAAACCAAAAGTAGTTTAAAAACAAAAGATAAAAACTTATCTCAAATCCTCCACCAAACTCTTGAAGTTCCTTTGAATCTCTTTGCTTTTACAAAACTCTTAATATAACTTAAAATAAAATGAAAATGGTTGTGGCGGGGGTGGCTTATGGTGATTGAAATGGTGGTTGAGTTGATAGATTATACCAAAAAGGATAAAGTAAATTTGTGGTGCCTGAAAATCTCTCCAAACGTTCCTCCCCGAACTTCTTCAAGAACTTCTCAAGACTCTCCCTTTTCAAGCACACTTCAAAAAGTCTCAACTTCCTTCTTTTATAAATCTCTAAGAGGAGCCTTGGTAACTCTTCAAAATGTGTCCCAATTCGATGAATTTTCCAAAGGATGCCTCCTTTCACAAGTCCTTTAATCATAATTTCTTTTTTAGTGGTCATAACCACCCTCTTTAGCCAATAGGTTCCTCAAATGTCTCTTCAAAATTTGGCAAAATGAATTAAACCATCAAATAACTGCCTTTGGTGCTTAAGCGCAGGGCCTCCGGCGCTTAGGCACAGCTTTCTCTGTTTCACCGGCACGTAAGCGCGGGATCTGGCCCTTAGGCGCCAAAACTCTTTTGCACCATTTTCACATTTTGCTCCAATTTTGATCATTTTTCACTCCTTTTAGTATTTTTCATCTTTTTACTTGTATCTGAAATAAAAACACACAAATACCTTCCATTAAAGCGCAATATCTCAAAAATACGTATAAAAATGTGTCTAAAAATAGTATATATTTTAGGTGTATCAGTGTATGGTATGTCATACAATATGCCCACAAGGACTCCAAGAGTTTCTCGTGCCATTCTTTCTTGTTGGCATGGAGAATTTTTCTAATAAGCCCAACTAAGGTCTTATTAAAAGTCTCCGCCAAGCCATTCGCTCTCGGGTAGTAGATCGTCGAATATCGCAAATTAATGTGATGATGTCGAGCAAATCTATTTATCTTGGTGTTTTTGAAAGCCAACCCATTGTCGGAGATGTTACGTTGTGGTACACCAAATCTATAAATGATATTATTCTTAAAGAAATGCAACAGGTTATCTGCTTTTACTTGTCTTAAGGGGATAGCTTCCACCAACTTAGAGAAATAATCAGTGGCTGCAATAATAAATTGATGCCCTCGAGAGGATGGTGGGTCAATAGGCCCCACAATATCAGTACCGCAGGCTTTGAAAGGCCATGATACAACTGTCGGATGAAGTACACTCGGGGGTTGGTGAAACACAGAACTAAACACCTGGCACTGATGACATATCTTGGCATATTCAATACAATCAAGGGTCATCGTAGGTCAGTAATAGCCGAGACATTTGATCTTGATTTTCATCTTGGGACCCGACTGATGGGATCCACAAATGCCCTCGTGGACCTAAGCCATAACTTTTTGGGCCTCATCATTCCCTCCACATCTTAATCACATCCGTTCGAAAGAGCATTGATACAAAGTATTGTTAATAATGGTAAATGAGGAGCAGGTGGCTGAAGCTTTCAACAAGAAAGAGTGCTCCGGCGGGCGTTGGCGGCGTTGGAAGTTATGTTGGCAAAGTAGGGCGATGCGAGGATGTTGGCTAGTAGAGAAGGAGGCAAGGGCGGGTTCAACCAACTACTAAAGGATGGATGCCGGTGGCAGCGCAGGTCGCCAGCGATGTTGGCGTCGACGGAGAAAAGAGTAAGACTGTTGGGCTTCATGCAAGGGAGGAAGAAGCCGCCTGGGAAACTTCATGAGAAAGAAAAATGGGAGTCCCTCCGGCTCTAGAAGATGCCTCAGGATGATATTCCACGCCTGGGAGATAAGGGGGAGAGAACTTTCCGCCTCGCCTCCGAGCCGGTCCGGGATAGGATCCTTTTTTTTTTTAAAATGTGATGGTGAGATAAAGAGGAGCCAGAGAACTGCATGCGTAAACATTTAAATAGAATAATCCTTCTCCTCCTATTTTTTTTTTATTTTAATGTCATCATTTGAGATGAGATAAAGAGGAGAGAGAGAGAGTTGCATGCGTAAACATTTAAATAAGATAATTCTTCTTCTCCTCTTTTTTATTTTATTTTAATGTTATCATTTGAGATAAGATAAAGAGGAGAGAGAGAGCTGCACGCGTAAACATTTGAGTAGGATAATCTTTTTCCTCTCCTCTTTTTTTTATTCTAACCTCATCATGTGAGATGAGATAAAGAGGAGAGAGGGTAGCATGCCTTTTTTTTCCTTTTCCTTTTCTCTTTTTTTTTTGCGAGAGAGGGACCTCCAAGATCTCTATTAGGATAGTCATTTTTTTGTATTTTGATTGCCTCTCTCTTTTTTGTTCTGTCTGAAAGCTTCTTTTTTTTATTATCACAGATGCATGGGAAAGAATTAAATATCATGCGTGCATTTAACAGTTGCTATCATTTTTTTTAATTTATTATTATTATATTTTTTATTATTGTTATAATAATAATAATAACATTATTATTATTATTATCATTCACATATTTTTGGCCAAGGAGCGTCCTCGTGATGAGATGAACGTCTCCTTTAACTAAAATCGACGTTTTGAACATGTTCGCGCATTCCGTTTCGTCATCTAGGGACGTTCGGACCACTTTATTCAGCAATTGGGCATACCACAATAATTAACGTATTTTTAGCCCGCCCGCTAGCCGTAGCGAAACAGGTGCTCTCTTAAGATAAAACCGACGTTTCGAATGCACTCACGTGGTCAGTTTCATCGTCCAGAGTCTTTCAGACAAGTTCGTTGGCTATTGAGCCAATTCGAGCCAATTTCGCATGCGATGCGACGCAAAATATTCATTGGCCCCCTCAACACGCACTGGTGGATCTCGACCGGATGTCGTGAGCTACAGGAAATAACAAATGCATGAAGCATGACCCCGATAAGCTCAGGTGGACATCCTACACGTGCGACTTCAAAATTGATACCAACAGCCAAAAAATTTCTGCTAGAGTCATTCAAAACGACATTTATAGGTGTTGAACACATATTATTTGGGAAACAACCCCAACCAAATAAGGACAAAAAAAAATCACCTAATAGAGAATGAAATTTGAATGACCCCCCAAAAATGCGGCCCAAAGGAGTACCTAATTCAAGGTTGAAAGCAATTTGATCTGCATCAAATCTCACCTCCTTCCCGTCCAATCTGAATAACACACGATCAATATCCAAGCAATTCAAAATGTGCATAGTTAGGATATCTTGAGGATGTGAGAGGAGTTCAAAAAATTGATGCACATTCAATTCTCTCAGTTTTCTCTAGGTCTCTTCGGAAACACTGGGCCAAACCTTCTCTAGCATATCTCTAACTGTCGAAGGACGACATCTGCAATTCATTACCTTATTGTTCACCAACTTACATGAGTAAGAAATAATTTATTAACACAAACAACATAAAAATTTTCAAAACACTCCTTCAGATAACCTTCCTCAATAACGTCAAAATAATCCTGATATAACCATAAAATAATCCTAGATTAAACCCTAGACAAAACCAAAAGTAACACAAAAATAAATCAATAATAAGACTACAATAACCCAGTGAAAACCCCACCAATAAGCCTACAATAACTTACGAATAACCTAAAATATACACAATCGTAACCTTTCAATTAACCCAACACTAGCCAGAGAATAACTTCCACGAAACCCCTAAACCTAAATAAACAACAAAATAACCCCATAGTAATCCAAGAAAATCTTAATAATAAACTCCTCAATAAGCCTTGCTAAACAAATATTATCCCGAGAATAATTCCCAGAAAACCAGACCCCTGGCTAACTAAATATTATCCCTAGAATAACTCCCAGAAAACCAGGCCTTAATGCAACATTAACTCATAAATAACAAAATAATAACCCAATAATTACCCACAAATGACCCAAGAATAATCCATATTAGCTCGTAAAAAGAACAAAAAAACACGGCTATATTTACTCATAAGTAACCTTTGAATAACCCATAATTAATCAATAATAGCTGCCAAAAATAACCTACATATAACCAAAGAATAACCTAGCAATAAAACCCCAAACATAAACCATGACTAACCCAACTATGTACCAGAACAAAGAACGAATAATAATCCAGATTAACTCATAAACAGAACAAAAAACCACGACTATATTAACCCATCAATAACCCAATAATAACTCATCAATAACCTAAAATTTAACCATTAATAACTGCAAAAAAATCTAAATATAATAAAAAAAAACAACCTAGCTATGAACCCCCAAACATAAATCAATCCAGATTAACTCATAAATATAACAAAACTCATGACTACATTAACTCATACGTAAGCCAAGCATAACCTACAAATAACCCATAAATAATCGACTAATCAACCAATATTAGCTGCCAAAAATAACCTAAATATAACCAAAATATAAACTAGCAATGAACCCCCAAAACATAAACCATGAATAACCCGTGAAAATATGCCAACAATAACCCAACTATGAAAAACTACCTGCCAACCTAGACTGAATTAAAAAATATAACCGAAATAGAACGATCACATATAGCAGGACAAATTCTCTACTTCATTGGCGTCTGTATTCGACCACTTTGCATCATTCTTCTTTTTTTATATCTTCAACTTTTTTTTCGGTTGTTCCTAGTCACCTTTGTTAGCCTCCTCCAACTCCGGCCTTATGAGCTCTTCCAACTGCAATTTTTTTAGATCATTGAACTCCATTTTCTCCACATGTTCTTCCAGCTGCATATTCTTGGTGTACACCAACTCCTTTCTCTTAATGCTTCGACACTAACCTTCCAACGCCATCTCTTTAAATCTCTTGCGGAAGCCAAAAAGATTCTTGACAGTCGTATTTCAATAGGCGGGATATTTAAGAAGTCGGGTGTGTCGGACATTAAATTTTTGATTTTTTTAAAATCACTTAGAAGGTGGGACCCATTATTAGAAGTGGCTTAAATTCATTCGGATGTTACACTCCCTTTGGAGATGAAAATTTTCGCGAAAATAAGAGAGGACGACAGCAGAGAAGCGAAGAATCTCAGTACTTCGTATGACCAATCTCAACTCGCAAGTCATAGGGAGGAGGAGATGCACCGAAGAATGGAGCTGACGCGAAGGCTATTTCCTTCGCTCATCGGATCGGCCTTTATTGTTGCCATGGCTGCTGTTCTTCTCCTCCGTTTCACCTCTATTCGGAAGCCTGACCAGCCGGTAATTCTTAAACCTTGCTGCGGGTTTCCGATTTGCTGCATAAGCCTTGTTATATAATAGAATTGATCGAAGCAAAAATTTAGTTGTTTGATCAATAAAATCTAGAAATTTGGAAAAGCTCTTTTATTTTCTCGAACTTTGTTTGTTTTGTCATATCAGAGAATGTGGACGGTGGAAGAAATAGCTCCTTTCAATGGAACGGATGATAAACTGTCGATATTATTAGGAATTCTTGGGTAATTATTGTCTGTTTTTCTTATTTCTTGTACTTTTATTTTCATTTCTGAGAATAATGGCTGTGCTTAGGAATGCAGTTCTGTCTTTGATGTAACCAAAGGGAGGTCACATTACGGCCCGGGAGGTGGCTACCATCACTTTGCTGGAAGGTAGGTTTCTCATGTAACAATCAACTTATGATGAATAGTTTGATGTTGATATTTCTTTTGTTTATGAATTTTATCTATATCTATATTGTTCATTCTCTTTTGGTTTGTAAGTTAATATTTGGTTGCAAATCTTGAAGTTGGATGAACAGTTGGAAAGTGAACATTGCTCCTGTTCTTAACTTTTACAAACATACCACATAATACTTATCTATTTACATATCTAACATATGGGGCGTTTGTTAGCATCTTCTAATAGGATTTATCATCTTTTAATAGGATTTATCATCTTTTAATAGGATTTATCACCGGATTTATTAAATCCAGCCAAACGCTAACATGTAGGAGTTTTGTGGATTTATGAATTTTTGGGTTGAAGTTCTCAAAATTTGCCTTTGATTCAGTTTAATCCGGATTTACTAAATACAAGGGTAAGGTGGATTTATCGGATTTACGATTTACGGATTTACTAAATCCTACTTGCAATCAAATGCTCCATAAACTTTTCATATTTGTATACATAAAACTCTACTCTTTATTATCACATAAAAAATACCACTACTACTAACCTTTTAAAAGTGAAGTACACCTTTTCATGCATAGGTTCATGACACCAAAGTATTAGAAATGTAAATATCAAACTTTAGGTGTTAGATATTTAAATATGAAGGAATTAGGTGGCATGTATTTAAATATTTCTGTTAAAAAAATGTTTGTAATTTGTCACGAGTTGTTACATAAAACTGTCAACATTAGTAAAAAAGGGGAACTTCATGCTTAAAATGCTTAAGCGATTTACATGAATTTTTACTGTGAACCATGATAAAATTCTGATGATCTTAATGTGATTCCAATGAGTATATTTATGTTTGCCATTTCTCCATCCTTTAGTTATTAAAATTTGCTCAGGCGTTTGTTTAGTAAAAAAACAACCATATATTTTCATGCTATAGTTGTTGGTGATGATAATGCTTCCTTTTACCTTTTTTAATTAACTTTTTTTTTGGGGTTGGGGGAAAGATTTACATACATACCACTCAATTCATTTGTACTGGCATATCTAAAACCTAAAATTCAATTTTGACATAGATACCACCTTTCCTATGCATGAAAAGGTCTATTTCACTTTTAACAATGGTGGTATTTTTGTTGTGATATGAAAGATTTGAGTGGTATAAGGTAAAAAGCAAAATTTAAGTGTTAGATATGTAAATTCATAGGAATTGAGTGGTATGTATGCAAATACTCCTCTTTCTTAAACTTTTTGCTCAATGCTGAATTGATGTTATGTTGCTTTGGCTTCAGAGATGCATCACGTGCATTTGTTTCTGGGAATTTTACAGGTAAGCTCTTTAGTTTTCTGAAGATATTGCTATTGTTAGTATGTGTTTGATTGATATCTACTTTTGGTATTGCTTTACTAATATCTATTGAGAGGTTTTGCATAAATTTAATATGCATAAAGAGATACTCAACTGAAAATTTCTTAAACCTATGCAAATGCATTTTCTTGGTATATATTTACAATATCTATTGTTGCATGGTGTTGCATTTCTCTTTTGTTTTGTTGTAAGGTGTATCCAAGTCCAACTTAGATGGGCTTCGAGCAATCATGTGGTTATGCGGAAAATACTGTTGTGACTGTATATTGGTTGCATAATGGGGACATATGATTTATTTGCTTAGAAGCAATAAGATGTTCAACTCTATGTTAGAAATCATGAACATGATGAAAATAACCTGAAGCTGATCATCTTCATCGTCAATTTCATTGGTACCAAATTTTATTTATTTATTTATTTCTAGTGGATGCATTCTTAGTAGAAATATTTGTCGACTGCTCTATTTGTTGTCTTTTTTCATATTTATTTCTTAATTATTTACTTACCTGTTATTTTGAATTTTTCTTAAATACTATTTCTTCTCTATTTTCAGATTAGTCTTGCTTTTTATTGATGCTTTGAACTTTGTTTATACAGATGCCATTTTTCATGTTTTTTCATTTAATTTTTATAGACATTGAAGCAAATGTAAAAAGTATTTGAAACTTACCTATAAACATTCTAATAATCATTAAGATGCCCGAAAAAAATATAAAAATGTTAATGCTAATCACGGCCATCATCTTCATGCTTGTCACAAAATCCATTTTATTTCTTAGGGGAGTGTTCATCATAGAAATAGTTGTCAAGTACACTATTCGATGCCATTTTATTTCATATTTTTTTTTATTTTTTTACTAATCTCCTATTTTTTTATTTTCCTATATGTTGTTTTCCCTTGAATTTCAGTGCACTATTGTATTTTTATTGATGCCTTAATCTTTATATATGTACATACCTTTTATTTTTTATTTTTTATTTTTTTTTTGTATAAATTGGGGCAAGTGCAAAGTGTCTAGCCTCTTCGAAGAAATATTCTTTACAATTAAGTTCACAATTACCATTGATGATGACAATGAAAAATGACAAGGGAATGGGCCTATGAATATTCTAGCATTCCCATGATTTAAAACATTATATATCCCAATGTAATTATCGAGATTTTATCCTTATTGATTTATGATGACCTTGAAAGTCAGGAAAGAGATTAAATATGATGGAGAAAGTAACAAAAGTAATCGAATACGAAAGTCTCAAACTTGAGCAAGAAGATTGCTTTCTCTTGAAGTTTTGTGTCTCAGTTCATTAGGGATCAAATCTTGAAATAGATGGACAAAAGTGACGTTACATCCAAAATAAGAATTTATTTATTCATACTTGTCTTATATGATTCATAATTCTTTTATTTATAGATGAATAAATAAAAAATTGTTCAAAAAGGTATTCCTACACCACACTCAATTCCAAAAACATATAACTTTCTTCACATGAGGTGACTCTAGTCCCTTTGTCCAATTTTGATGTTCATTATTCACTTGCATGGGGCACTCTAGCCCTACACAAGCATCCAAAAATGTTGCTTGAGTTCATGCCTCTTGTGATGTCTCATTCGTGTGCGTAGATTTGTAAGTGCATGGGGTGCTTGCCCTCATGCCTTCATGTGTAACAAACACATCATGCTTTTTGACTTATATATTCCCATCAATGTCCTTCATAACCTACTCTGCTAGCTCAGTATGTAGGGTTTTGGATTGCCTATCTTGCCCGCCAATTGCTTCTATCCTTTTTGAGCATCTTTCACATCTTCTCTCTCAAACTTTTATAATGTCTTTGTTTCCATTAAATCTTTCAAATAGTTGATGTTGATGCTCAAGTCCCTCTCTTAGCTCTTAATTCATGCTCCTCAACTCCCTAGATCAGTTATCTGCAGGTTTAAACTGAACCCCTTGTTCGGTTACTTTTATTATCATCACTTATTTTGGTGACCTCTATCTTTTATTGAGGCTCCACTTGCTTATTTGTCATTGGTAATTCATCTTTCACTACTTGCAATCCTTGACAATTATGAAAGTTACTGGAGGATGAAAGCTTTGGAAATTCATTGCCCTTCATCTAACCATTTCGTTAATTATTTTTAGCAATGTTCATTACTACCTCAACATAAGCAACATATTTCACATGGCAAACCTGCATTCTTTTTTACCAAAGATAATATCTCAGAGCATGCAATTCCACTCATATTTTTTCTTGTGGGCAAATTTTCTTTGGGATGCCCCAATTTGGAGGTCATTGGCAACTTTATGTGAGACTTGTACTTGGTTATCAATTTTTTCTTTGAGCTTATGACCCTCATTATATCATTTTAAAACTATTTTAAAGGCTAGCTGATTATTATGTTAAAATAGTTTTCTCACTTTGACTCTCTCGAGGGATCACCTCTCATATTTGGGTTGCTTTTTTGCATCTTCGCTATATTATCTCAACCAATCAATGCTTTTAGTGAATATTTGCAAGTGGATGTTGCTATGACTCATCACTCTAGGCCAACTGTGACCAAAATTATGGTTGAATTCTACATTCAATTTTTTTTTTTGAAAAGCTGTGAATTTCTTACTCATTATGTGGATATTGATAGTCGGTCGGATTTAATGGCATTCCTTTTTATTATTCTTCTTGCAAAATTTTTGGGCACATCCATTTTGATTTCTTTCCTAATCATCTTGAATTGAGGAAATCAAACTTTCAGGCAGGAGATGCATACAAACGATCAGATCTTACCTTTATTCATTATAATTGATGTGTCTTCTACTTCAGATCTATCTTTTTTTTTTTGAATTTGGAATCAACTTTAGAACATTACATGAAACTTGAGTTTCCCTGCCCCTTCTAGCCTGTGTATATGGTCACCACTTCATCTGTAACATTGAACATTGATCCCGATTCTCCTATTTTATTAATCTGAATTATTTTTTTTATTCATTGAAGATGCCATGATTCAGAGTAGTCTTATGATTGAGATGGGAGCATTTAGAATGTTGATATTCTAGTGCATAGAGATTCCAAATCCCATATGGCAAAAGAGGAAGAAATAAGAAAAAAAATAATCATCACTAAAGGTTGATCAGAATTCAAGTAAGGCATTGCACATGTAGTTATTTTTTTTATTTGAAGTATTTTCTTCTTGGACATGTTATTTTTAATTTGTTTTATGTATTTATTGGGCAATTTTTTATAATTGTAATTGTCATGTGTTGTACTAAAATTTTTTCCTAGTTTTCAATGTGTGATTTTTGTGTAGAAGTTGCGAACAAACTGCCAAATAACTAATAAGTTGTTAGGCTAAAATTTTAAATGACTTTTACTGCAACAACTTTAATAAAATAATGAAATATAAAGATATGAAAAAAATTTAATATCCATAATAAAAAAAATGATTCAAAATGCATTCTTCTTTATGTTCTCTAGCTGCAAAACACTACTCGGAAGAGTGGTAATTATAATACACTTAGTGAAATGAGTATGCTATGGATCATTTTATGAAAGATATCACTTCCAACGGATTAAAGGATTATGTAAACTTGAAAGAGAATTGACAAATTTGTTTTGAAAGTAGTGTGTCAGAATTGTAATCTATCCTATTTGAAATTTTAAAAAAATCTACTTGAATTTATCATATTTTTTTCTAACTTTACCGAAAATTTGAACTTACTGACTATCACAATTGATCTAACCCAAGTTCATGCCAAACATAGAGAAGTGATGCATGAATCGGTGAGCTATTGTAGTACAAGTATGAATAGGGTTCTAGCTTAGTAGTTCACACCTCCTCCACGTCTATTTTTGAAGTAACTCTTTTTTCTTTTATAGAATTTAAGTTTTGCCAGTTATCTCTTGTATCTAAGGTTTTATCCTATATTTATGTTTTTTTTAATGTGCTATGCCTCCTCTCTTTAATATACAATAAATGGGACTAAGTTACTATCCCCTAGGAAAAAAAAAAGCTATTGTAATATGAGTAAATGTTTGTGTTACCCTTGGAAGGTACATTCCGTTCTCATGAGTAATATCATAGGCTTGTTCCAAAAAACAGATTTCAAAAGCTATAAACAAAAATCCTATTAAATAAAAAACTAAAGAAAATTTTTTCAAATCACTGTTTTACTCTATGCATCTGACAAATATAAATTTGCAGTCTCTTTCACCTAAGATGTCCTACATCACCAAAATGTTTCAAAAGTTTCTCTTCGATAGTAAGCTGTAATTTACTCCAGAATGATTTAAGCCTTATTGGAAGATATAATTATCATTGATTCAACTAAAGGTAGAAAGTTTGTCACCAGACCAACTTCTTATACAAATAATCCTCAGCTGAAGAACCCTCCAAACTGAAGACTTCTCATCCACTATAAAGCTTTCCAAAGTCTGAGGTTATTCTGGATCTGATCCAGATATCATCCTCCACAAAAATGCCAATGCATATTCATGCATGTCTTGCTGCCTGGGATCTGTAAACCAAATGCGTCAGTAGTGAATTTCAAACTCATAATATGCTTCAAATAGTATTGTTTGAGCGAGACATTATGAACCAGTGTTTTATAATGAAAACACATACTTATTAAGATAGAATAAGAGAATATTACTTGAATTCAGTCTTCCAGCATTCACTGAAGAGCTATCTCAGAGGTATACTAGGCACGATAGCTGAATCAAGGGAGGTGAAATCTAATATTGACTCATTGTGTAAGGACTCCACATTAGTTGACATTCTAAGATTAGAAAGAATCTTCTCTGATGACACAAGGGGCTAAGGACTTTAGTCATCCGCCTTATCCACAAAAGTAGAAGAATGCGTTCTCCGAGATCTAACATGTTTATTTGCTAAGGGAATATTAGTAGAAGGTATAGGCGACTTCCTAACTCGTCCTTTGGTCGGCGAGAAGACAACCTCTCCTATTATGGGCTTATTCCCTTTCTTGAGTTATAAAAGAGGACTATGTGAAGATAATAGAAAGAAAGAAAAAAAGAGTAGTATATGATAAAGTTTTACTGATAAAGAAAATTAAAATAAGTTTATCTCTGTTATCTTCCACGTGAAAGACCGTGATGAGGCCTCGACTTCAAAGAATACCTAATAGCCACACATGACGCTCATATTTACAAGTATCATGCTCCATGAAAACACCAAAAGATAGCCCCACCCATGTCAGTTGAATATAACTCACTCCTATAAGAATACCGAGAGGAGTTATAGTACCAAGCTTGAGCAAATGAATCCACAATCAAGCTATACAAAACCTGATATCTGTGGATGTTGACTCCATCGAGCGAGTGTTAGCGACTCCTAGTATACGTAAGTAGTCAGTGAATGCCCAAATTGACTAGTCACCTAGTTAAGTTGATAGCCTTCTAAGATGACTGAACATCCATACTGATAACAATCATGTAGGTCGTAAGCTGATAAAGTACTCAGTAATTCGCAACAGTTATACTCTAGAGAACAAAACATGGTGAGAGTCATCATTTATATTAACCTCAAGAAAGCAGTTTGGAATGAGAACTATACTCAACTGATGAACGAGAGCAAATATTTTTATCACCAAGTGAGGTGCAAAGAAAAACAATCACACCTGCTCCAGTTCTAATGTGGAAAAAGACTAGAGATAACTAATAGATTGTAGGAAATTCCCTCTCAAGAAAGTAAGAACACTCTAGACACGAGAAAGCTCCACAAATGTGAATATGAATCAATGCATTAAATATTGTCTTGATAAATGTGACACACAAAGTTAATTAAGCTCTGAGAAAAATCATAAAACTTTGTATATCTGAGCAAGTATTACTGGAACTAAAGATAGATGCTCCCTCTGGAAAATGTGGCTAGCAGGTAACAAAACACCTGGACACACAAAAAACTCACTGGAGGGAAGTACAGAGCTAGACAATCAGGTAGCCAAAAAATGTTAAAATTAGCTCCCCGCCTATACCTGATTTAGCTGGATAGGGATGAGCTGGACAGGAATGAGTCGGTTGTAAAGATGGTTCATCATACTCCTTTGATAGAAAATCGCCGTGTTGTAAACCCACCCCAAACTAATCACCCAATTGTGTAGAAATATTTGATAAACAAGCATCTTACATAAAACTTTGAAAACTTTGAATTCATACTTCAAACTTTGAATTCATACTTCAAAAAAAAAAAAAACTCGTGTTTGCCTGCATAGTCTAGATGACCTATAAGCTCAATACTGAAAACTCATAAGCTCATAGTAAACTGTTGGCAAGGCTAATCTGTTTCAACGACCACCATCATCAAAGGGTCATCTGTAAAAAACTCATAATATGATGGAATGCACTCGTATCAGTGACCAAAAATCGAAAATTACGATACTATTTATAGGCCCCATAAGGTGATGGGCAACTCCATAGGACCAACCCGACTTATACTACTATGAAGATTCTATAACTCTATCTTACCTCTAATCCAAGCAGATGGAATCTTCGAGAAATCATACAAGGACACGCAAAATGCCTCTTAAATTCCAACTGTTTGCAAAGGATCTCTATATGACTATAGTATGTATCCGACCCAAGCAACATATTCAGGTGTCATACTGAGAACCCGACCTACAAACAAATATTTGGGTCACTCTAGTATTTTTCTGAAGTTGGCGTTGACTCAAAAGTTGGGAGTGTCCTGCTCGTTCAACTATATCAGTGGCTGGCTGTAGGATTTCACAAGACCCATAGGTGATCTGATCCACTGTCCCATCCAAAGGACTATACCCTCCACATTTTAGCTTGAGAGTAGTAGCACACTTCTTAGGCTCGTAAAGCTCCAGTCTCTGACAAGAAGTTTTGAAAAATAAAAGAACAAATAAAAAATTCATCAGAAATGTCTTGGTCTCTAAGCATATTTTGTTGTAACTTGAGTCTGTCCTAAATATCAACATTCCATCGAGGATCAAGACTATCAATGCATGCTCAAATAGAGTCCTCACTAGACTCATTGGGTGAAAGATTAGGTGATCTCTTCCAACTAAATACTTTCTACAACAAGAAACACAACCAACACAGCTGAAATAATCAAAATTAGGGGACAACTTGGTTTGCTCTAGACGCAAACCCCATTACTTTAATTTATTTATTTTCCTTTTTTTCTGATTTTATGGTGACAACAAAGGTGGTACGCGTCTGGAGCTGACAATGTATGTTATCCCCTAATTTATATTATTTTAGCTATGTTGATTGTCTGTTTCTTATTGCAGAAAATGTTTAGCTGAAATTGATCATCTTATCTTCCACTTGATGAGCCTAGTGAGTATTCTATTTAGTCTCGATTCTTGAGGGGATGTTGATTTTCAGGTTAGACTCGAGCTGCATCAGGATATGCTTGGGGACCTAGAAATTTATGATAGATTCTTTATTCTTTCTCCTATTCTTCCACACTGCTCATCAAAGACTCAAGAGATTCAAGTGCCTGCAGAGTGGGTTACTACAATCCTTTAAATATGATAGTGGATCAGATCAGCTACGGGTCTTGTGAGATTCTACAACTGACCATTGATATAGTTGAACTAGTAGGTCAATCCTGATTTTTGAGTCGCCGCTTGCTTTAGACATGAGAATGTCATAGAGGTTCGACTGTAGTTCGGGTTTCAAGTTTGACATTTTAATTTGTTGCTTGGGTCAGATACATAATACAATTACATAGAGATATTTTATGAGTAGATGAGATTTATGAGGCAATTTACATGTCATTGTTTGATTTCTTAAAGATTCCTTCTGGTTTGGTTTGAGGTATGATCGAGTTATGGGGTTTTGATAGTGGTACATGCAGTGTTGGTCCCGAGGAGTTGACCGTCTTCTTATGGACCTATAGACAATATCGAGAATTTTAATTGTTGGTCATCAATAAGAGGAGTGCATTTTGTTAAGTCATGAGCTTTTTCGTAGATGACCCTTTGAAGAAGGTGATCGCTGAGGCAGATTAGTCTTGCCAACAATTTACTCTGAGCTTTTGAATCATTACTATCGGGCTTATTGGTTATCTCGACTACGCGCAAGGACATTGGTTCTACTTTCTGTTGATGTATGGATTCAGAGTTTTCTGTAAGATGATTGTTTACCAAATATTTTTGCACAATGGGGTGATGCTTTTAGATTGGGATTATAGCTCAACGATCTTCTATCAGAGGAGTATGTCGAGCCATCTTTACTGCTGACTCATCCCTCTCCAGCTAGGCAAAATATAGGTGCGGTGCTAGTTTTAGCATTTTTTTTACTATCTGGTTGTCTACCTTTGTACTTCTCTCCAAGGAGGGTTTTGTGCATTTAGGTATTTTGTTAACTGTTTGTTTCCTTTTCCAGAGGGAGTGTCTATTTTTGGCCTCAATACTATTTGCCCAAATTTATAGATTTTTACGACTTATCTCGAAGTCTAGCTCTTTAGAGCTTCTTAAAATCACATTGCCCTAATAATATTTATATTTAGGAATTCATGTTCACATAAGTGGAGCGTTCTCATGTAAAGAGTGTCCTTACTTATTGGAGAGCGGATTTCTTATTGGTGTAACCTAAGTATGAAATGCGAACAACACTTATAAAAGAAGCATGCAATCCAATAGTTAGGAGAGGATTGAGAAGTGCACTGTAGAGGAGATCGACGGGAGAGGTGCAAGGCAGGCCTCGATTGGAGATTGTGGCTTCGATGCACGAAGCTGTTGAAGGATTCTTGAGAGCTGACATGTGGTAGAAGGCTAGGGCAGAGAGGTGAACAAGGAAGGGAACAATGAGGAGGACAGGTATGGGGTTGACAACTTTGTTGTGCTGGGTTCGAATCGGGGAAGGAGGACTAAGCAGAGGGGGAAGCTGGGGAAAGCTGCGCTTGTTTTCTGTCACACGAGAGTAGGGACATCGACCTTGATGCAAGGGTGTCAGACAAAGCATTTCGATGCAGAGAAGGATGGGAATTCCGGAGGTAAGGTCTTTGTGCACTGCATTCCTTTCTTCGGTCGCAAGAGAAGGCGAAGTATTCTTTGCGACAGATGACAAACATAGAGGAAGGAAGTGGAAGTGAAGGTTTCAAACGTAGGAGAAGAGGGTCGGGGTTGTTGTGTTGTTTCGATTAGACAAAACAAAAAGGAGGGACACAACCAGTTATCAGAACTTTCATCTGTGTGCCCGACAAGAATTGAAAAGTAAGAATTTAATTAATTAATTAATTACATTTATTTATTTTATTCTCCTTTTTTTTCTTATTTTATGGTCAAAAGCTTCTAAATATCATTTAACTTGTATTCCAACGAGATGGTAATATTTACATAAATGTGTATTTAATTTGTATGTTGCGTTCATGGTATGCTATTTCTTTATTTTTGATCATTCAAAGGCCTATTGTGGCTATCTTAATCTTGATGCTGATTTAGTGACTTCTATTGTAATCGTGGTGTCTGTTTTATACAACTGTATGATATTGTAAACATTTTGTTTCTTTTACAGGCGATGGTTTAACTGATTCACTTCAAGGTCTCTCAGGTGCAGAGGTAATGTAGAGTGCTAGTATTTGCTGTTGAAAACCATAAATAAAAAGTTAAGCTTTTGGAATTATTTTCTGACATTCTTTAAAAATTTTCAAAGTAGAAAGGAAGATTCATTACTTTTTAATGGGTACAAATACCTATGTATAATTTTGATTGATGAGTATATTGTTTTGATTCGAATTTAACATAATTAAAAGACTAATTAGTCCTCAGGGAATAGTAAGATGAAAGAAAACAAATAAATTTAGGGTCATTTTGGGACAATTGTTTGGCTGCTTTGGTTTTCTGACCGCCACCACAACTCTGTTTGAGGGACTTTTTTTTTGCTGTTTTCTAGAAATTTTTGTTGTGAAAAGCTATTTTTTTCAACCTAACCTGTTAAAGTATGATGTTGTCAGAAAGCTGCGGTCTGACTTTTGAAATTAAAATAAATTTGTGATAACCACCACAGCTTTTTGAAAATCAGGTTCATCTGCAACAGCTTCACAACTGTTTCAAACAGCTGCAGCTGCCCCAAACAAACCCTTATTAGCCGCTAAAATTATTGATGATCAGACTGTTGAGCGGGTCCACCTTTGTGTCGTGTAAACTAGTACGATTGAAAATGCTAAAGATCTAATAATCTCTAGATGTCTACCATCACATGCAGTCCATTTGAATTTCCAAAAGCGTCATACATAATATATATAATTTTCCCATTATTATTGTCTTCCTCTTCCTAAAAATGATTTTCTTTTTTTTAATTTTTTGATAGTTCAATTCCCTTTTGTGCTTAAATGGAGTATAAGATGAGTACAGCTCTAAACATGTTCGTTTGGATGTTTTTGTTTTTGTAGATGAGCAGTGTTGTTGACTGGAGGAAGTTTTATTTTGAAAGATACACGTAAGTTACGTGAGTTCTGTGTTAGAATTCTTTGTTTCTATTAATTACTTTTTGAGATTTACTCTTCTTTCTAAGGTCGTATTCCATCAAGATTCTTCAAGTTTGGGATTAATAATGACTGTATCATCATTCATCACTTCCAGAATTTCATTATTAGTCCTAATGACCTGCCATTATTGCGGACAGTTTAAAGGAAAAGTGTACTTAGATCCTTGATGCTAGTGGATTCTTCATGTGGGTACTTTTTTTTAGAAAAAGAGGCTTTTATTTCGGTTCCTGTGCTCCTGAGGCCTTTAATTTGTGTCACTTCTGTTACTATTTTCTTTTGTCTATGAAAATACAAAAATGCTGTTTAAGATACAAGACAAAAACAAAAGGGAATTTTACATGTCTAGCACACAATTCTTATGTATTTACATTTTCTCACACCTAAACTTTCATTTTTAAACACAACACTTTGGTGATTTAAATCTATGCATAAGAAGTTGTATTTCGCTTTTAAAAAGTGATGATAAAACTATTTTATGTGATATTAAAGATTTTAGTGCTATTTGTGTAATGAAAGTTTAGGTGCGAGAAAAAACACAAGAATTGTGTGCTATGTATGTAAATGCACCATATTCTCTCTCCATCCCGAATCTCTCTTTTAGCAAGCAGTTCCAAGATGTTTAGGTGACGGTTCTGGTTGGGGTGCAAACTGCCCTCCTTTTCCCCTTTCTTTTCCATGCCACCTTCAAATAAGGTGTTTGAAGTTGGCAATTAGCGGTCTTCTCTTGTTTCCCCAGGGAAAATAAATAAATAAAAAGAGCAAGCTTCTGAAAAATGCATAGACATCGCAGTTTAAATAGCAAAAGAAATAAACTCATTTAAGTCTGGTGCAACCAATCTAATCACCGTTCTTACAAGGAAGGTTGTAAGACCTTTCTGTCTAAAGTGCATGACCATGAAATGCATCCTTTTGAGTCATTTTAAATTCGGAATAAGCAAACCTATATAGGACTTCCCATCTACATAGGTTTATAAGTTGTGATCCCTTGGGTGTCTAATAATAGGTCAAATTTTGATGCCCTTATCAAAGTTCAGAATGATGATTCAAAGCAAGTTTTCATTGGCTTTTCTTATACTAATGTTTGTCAGCCCATCTTTTGGGTCTTTAAAGTGTCCCATCTAGTCAAAGAAGTCAACATAAACTTAATTAAGCCCCATCAAATTTAATCTAATCAATTAGTCCTTAAGGCCATAAGACCCATTGTTGACCTTTCTGTCACGCCGGTCCCTCGTGGACCAGCTAGACCAGTCGGCCCAGCCTAGGGGGTGGAACCCTAGTTTTTCCTGGGAAGATTCCAACCCTCGATTGGGGTCTGTTAAGCCTCCAATCACGTATGCGAGGAAAGGAATCAGGAGAGGTTTTGGGGGGAAAATTTGAGTGTATTTAGGTTTTTTTTTTTTTTTTTTTGGGGGGGGGGGGAGGTGATTTACCTCTCGAATTATAGATCTCCCATTGTATCTCGTTTGTTTGCTTTGAGATTACTCAAATTAGCCCTGATTTGAGTTTTCCAACATATTTCTTGCAATTATTTCGTTGATTTTGGCTTCGATTCGTATCAAATTGGTATCAGAGCAAGATCTTGAAAAGATGACTGTGAAGAAAGTGGATGCTTTGGAGGAGGGATTGGAAGGAGAAGTAGGGCAAATTTAATCCGGGTTAAAGAAAATATTTTCAACCATAGAATGAAGCTTTTCATTCATGAAAAACCAATTTGAGGGCTTGGAGGAGATGATGAGGAGACTTATTGAGATGCAATCCAAAACCTAGCCAGCGGTTCAAATTACAAACTCTAACTAAGGTTTGATCGGAGAATGCTTGGCCAAATCTAAGAAAAAGAGATCAAATGAGAGGAACATGAGGAAAACATCCACTATCGAGAACCTTCCCATAGGGTTCCGATGGGGAGTGGATTAGGGATTTCCGATGGAAGGGGTTCGAAACATGGTGATTGGGTTATGCAAGGGGTTCGAAACATGGTGATTGGGTTATGCAAGGGGTATGAGGTAAGGGTGTAAACGAGTCTAGTCAAGCTCGAGCCACCCTTGGCTGGAGCTTGATTAATTTTATCGAGTTCGAGCTCGAGCACAAGTCTATAAGTTCGAGCAGGCTCATGAGTTTTCTTATTTATTATAAAGGATAAAATAATATTATTTTAAGTTAGTGTTATAATAAAATGAAAAATAAAATGAGCAATTAGGAGAAAAATAATAAGAAATTACTTAATATAAAATATTATTTTTTTAAAATATTTTTAATACTTTAAAATAAAGTCTTTAAATTTAGAGTCCGTTTGGGGCAAATTATTTGCCACGACATGGGTTTGGAACTCAGAGTCTCGTTTGAAAAGTGCGGCGCGACTGCTTCTCTGGATCAATCGGAAGGAAACGTGGCCGCAAGTTTGACCTTGCGGCCCGCGTTCCTTAGTTATGTTGTGACGGGGCTACCCTCGCGTTATCCCGCGGCTTCTTTCTCTCTCGCGATCCCCACGGGGCTGCCTCTCTTGCGACTCTTGCCTTAACTCCCCTCTCTCTCGTGAGTTCTCCTCTCCCTCTCATCTGCTCTTTGGCTCTGTTTGAATCATTTGATCCGCCCTCTGTGTGGTGGTTTCTCTTCGTGCATTGGTTTTTGATCATTTGCTTCTCTATTTCAGTATTCTCTACCTTAGCATAGATGTTGTGATTTTTGATTTTGCAAACACTTATGTGCCTGAGACTTTCATGGGTTTTCTGCGCTCTTATGCGCCTAAAAATATTTACTGTTTATTGTATCAGTATTTTATACAAGTCATGTATATTTGTCTCTTATGCATTTGATATTTACTGTATTAATTTTTTTATGCAAGTAATGTATTCTTCTTTTCTGTAAGCATGTATTTTTTCTCACTTGGATGACCGATGAGATGAACGTGGGTAATATATGTATCCTAAATATTGCATGTATTTTTTTATGGATTTTGGATGTTTATGATGATTCGTTCGAAATTATGAGTTTTTCTGGATGAACTATGTCGCTATTGGTTGGTGTCACATGTGAAATCCCAATAAAGGCAGTCAAGTTTCTCACTTTTTTCAGTGTTATGATTTTTTAGGTTTTTTAGGTTTTTTTGGTTTTTTTTTTGTGATATGCATAAATGACACACAACAGCTCGATATTACGTGGGTTAAAGACAAATAAAAGTCATTTTTTGTAAGGTTTATTGTTTTCTTGTGGTGATAGATTCGTTGGTTTATATACTATGTTCTCTGAGAACTCACAATTGTATAAAACTTTAATTAATTACTTCAATTATTAATTTTTACTAGTGCTATATCTAAGGGTGTGTGTTTTTAAGTCTTCAGGAATGTTAAGCTCGAGAATTGTCAGCATCTCCAAGGCATTGTATTGCTATTGCAGACTACAATATTTTTTGCTTACTTTGCAGTAGTCAGATTGCTACGAGAAACAGATTTACAGGTGTCCAATGAGAGTCATAGAAAACTATGACTATTTTAGGTGGGCAGATGAGTTGGAAGGTTCCATCACTGAGAGTGATCGAGCATGGAGAGTTTCACTCGAGAATGGCTTATCTAGTGACATACCATCTGCATTTTAAATTTAATATCATCATATCATTAATTGCTATTTTAATTTTTTCTTAAAATTTTGACAGTCATGTTACTCACTGTTTAGTGTAGTGTCTATTTTTAATGTATAATGTTATGCACTGAATATTTACTTTCAAGTAGGGAATATACTGGTATGAATAGTTCTGTTGTAAACAACATTACTATACAGGGGCAGAATGATCATTTATCTAGAAACTACCACAACACAGCTGTTATGAAACTGCAGAAAACAAATAAAAGGTCAACTTATTCATGGCAACTTCTTGGCATAACTGCTACACAACTTATTAATAAGTTACAGCTGCCCCAAACAGACTCTTAATATATTTTGAGTAAACAAGTTGAGTTCGGGCTAGCTTGAGTTTGACTTTTTAGTTCATTGAGCTTAGTTCACGAGCAACTTATCTAGCTGAGCTTGAGCCGGCTCATGAGTCGGCTTGACTCACACCCCTAGTATGGGGGAGTATGAAGAAGGAAGAAGATAATCTGTAACGGGATATGGCTATGATTGAATGAGGGATTTTCAATCTAGATACATGGGGGAAGCATCGATGGGAGAGGAAGTTGGGGTGGAGATGCTTGGATTAGGAATTTGAAGATGATATTTGATGAGGAAGACACACAGGGTTGGGTGTATGGGATGAAGTGATATTTCACAGTGAATTGGTTAAATGAGGAGAAGTTCGTGGCCTCGCGCTTATGTTTGGAGGGGAAAACCCAACATGGTTTCAGTGGAGGGAGGCTAGATACCCAATATGTTTGCGAGAGAAATTTTAATTTTTTTTCTTGGAATGTTTCTGAGTCATTCGGGATAGGGCTGTCAAAACGGCTCGTGTTCGGCTCGTTAAGAAGGTCGTGTTCGGCTCATCGTTATTTGTGTTGTTCGTGTTCGACTCGTTTTGACTCGAAATACTACTAATCAATTATATATATATTATTGATGAGTAGTATTTTTAAAAAACTTAATTGACTACAAGGCTATAAATATTTATAGCCTAAAAGTATTAATGAAGAAGAAAATAGAATAAAAATTTTAAAACTAGATTCAAATTATGTTTTAAATCTTGCCCCAATCTTTAACATCTTATGGCTACGTGATTAGGATTGTCAAAGGGTTGTCAAAACGATTCTTTGTTCGTGAACAACTCGTATTCGGCTCGCTAAGCAAACGAGCCAAACATGAACACACTTTTTGAGCTCGAAATATAAACGAGCCGAACACGAGCGAGCTCGTTTACAACCCTAATTTGGAAAAGAGATCTACATGAGCAAGTTTTTGTCTTGATTCGGGAGGGGAATGTCACGGGTATATGGAGAGATTTGAGTTATTGTCGGGACGACTGAGTGAGTTATTGTAGGGATAGCTGAGGGGGATTTTTGAAGCAGTATTAGAGAATAATTTCATGAAGGGTCTAAAACCCGACTTACGTGCAACCCTTCAACTATAGAGACCACGGGGATTAGGAAAGACGATGGAGCTAGCCTAAATGATGGAAGACAAGAACTAAATGGAGAGGGCCGACAAGAACAACACCATGGGAGGATCCTACGGTAGTAACTTGATGATCCTGACTCTGAGGACCTAAACTGTGTCATTTTAGAGGGAGGCGTTGATGGAGAGGAATATGGGGGTCTATCCAAGGTTCAACTTGAAGCGCCTCTTGGAGGCAAAGGTGTGGAACAAAAGAGCAAAGTGATTATATTTCCGATATGATGAGAAGTATGCACTAGACCACTAGTACAAGGATTGTTCGCTCTAGGTCTTTACAATTTGGGATGGAGAGGAGGCAGATAGCTAGGAGTTGTAGGAAGAAGTGGTAGAGGAGAGGAGCAGTTGCACCTTGACGTAGCGGAGGTGTCCCTGAGATTCACTCAAAATCACACCATGAAGGTGAGGGGACAAATCAGGGATAAAACTGTATTTGTATTGGTGGATAGTTGTGTCATTCATAACTTCATCTCAAATTGGGTCTTGGACCAATTGGGGTTGAAGTTGGTAGATATGGGAATTTTTGGGGTCATGTCAAGGACAGGGAAGGTGGAGAAAAGTCGGGGAATTTGTAGGGAACTGCTGTTGACACTACAAAACATATATGTGGACTTCCTTCTCTTGCATTTGGGAAGTATTTATGTGAATCTGGGGATGAAGTGACTACAAATGATCGAAGATACGAGGGTTGTTTGGAAATATCTATGAAGATTTAGGTGTTGGGGAGGAAAGTGGTGCTGAGAGGGGATGCTAACTTGTGTGGAACTATAGTCTCATTCAAAATCATGGTCAAGACAATATTGGGAGTATGATTGGGCTATTTGATGGAATTGTAGAGCTTAGAAGAGATTCATGATCCAGAGTCCTTAAAGTTCCTCGAGCGCGTTCAACGGTTTCTGCAACAGTTTTCTTACATATTTCAGTAGCCTAGTGTGTTACCTCTACCGAGGGAGCATAAGCTTGCTGTTACATTGAAGGATGGGTTCCTCCCATCGATGTCAGACAACTATGATATTCCCAAATTCAGATGGTGATATAGAGAAGTTGATCAAGAAGATGCCCCACTCTGAACTTTTTTTCTAGCTCAGTCTCATTAGTGAAGAAGGATGGTAGTTAGAGGTTTTGTGTGGATTACATGGCTCTGAACAAGAAAAATGTACTGGACAAGTTTCCTATTCTAGTGATTGACAAGCTGTTAGATGAGCTTTTTGGAGCAGTCATTATCTCAATGATTGATTTGAATTCGGGATATCATAAGATCAGAAGGATTTACCGTGATATTTGTGGTAGTGGATTGTCTGAGTAAGTATGCACACTTCATTCCATTGTGACTCCCTTACACTGTTGTTTATTGTATTCATACAGAAATTGGTTTGTTTGCATAGTGTTCCAAAATCATTATATCAGACTGGGACAATGTGTTCCTCAGCCATTGCTGGAAGGAACTAATTAGATTACGATAAACAATCTTAAAGAGGAGTACAATATATCCCCATATATGTGGCTAGACTGAGATGTTCAACAGGTGTGTGGAGCATACCTGCTCTGTTTTGTATCAGATAGACCCAAGCTTTGGGCAAGGTGAATTGCTTGGGCTGATTATTGATGCGATACTTCATACCATGCTGGAACACATACCACTCTATTCAGGATTTTGTATGGGTGAGATTCACCTCACCTAATACACTATGGGCATAACACTATCAATATCCAGTGTAGACCAGTGTTTGAAGAATGATAGGATATTGACAAAGCTCAATTTCTATCTACTAAGGCCCCAACAGATCAGGAAGAGGAAGACTGATGGACATAGGAGGGAGTTTTAATTTGAGCTCGTAATGTGACTTATTTGAAGCTGAGATCTTACCGGCAAAGTGCATTGGCTACGAGTAGGAGCGAGAAGCTTTCCCCATAATATTTTTGACTCTATGAGATTGTGGCATGCATTCGGGCCGTGATATGCCATCTGAGGTTACCACCATCATCGTAATTGCATCTATCATTCCATGTATCACAGTCGAGGCATGCTATCAGAGATTACACACCCTCGTCTTCTCTACCTCCGACATTTACATAGGACATGGAGGTGGTTTTGGAACCTTTAGAGGTAGAAAGGTGCTTCGAGGATTGACTGGGGCAAAGAGTTCCTAATTAAGTGGAAAGATATGTCAAATTATGAAGCAACTTGAGAGCCTTATGAACTGATCAAGGAGTAGTATTTTAATTATCTTACTTTAAGGACAAGGTGCTTCTTTAGGAGGGCAATATTTGATCCCTCTTTGACTGGCCTACACCGGCCAAACCCAGCTAAACCAGCTGGCCCAACCTAGAGGGGCGGAAACCCCTATTAGATCACCCATTATATCTTGTTTGTTTGTTTGGATATTAATCAAATTAACCCTAATTTGAGGTTTTCCTCATATTTCTTGCAATCAGTTCGTTGATTTTGGCTTCGATTCGTATCACTTTCTTTAGGGGATTAGGGGCCGTGATATGCCATCTTCTGGTGTGACTAGTGAAGGGAAGACCGTCAGCCAAATTTAAAAATTAGAGATTTCAGTGAACATTCTGCTGTAAATTGTTAGCTTTTGTAAGTAAATGCACTTAGCCACTGAGATTTCAAATTTCATATTTAAATTTGGAGGGCAGATATGCTAGAGACCATTATTATTCATACAGCTTATTTGATAATTCAGAATATCTGGTCAAATGAGCGAAACTTTGGGAAGCTTAAGCCCAATTTTTATGTATCTAACCTTTGGTAAAACATTTACTTCAAACTAACACGATTCAAGGTTTGCCACCGAATAATCCACAATATCATCTTTTAAAAAATAATTAACTTATTTTTATTTTTTATTTGAACAAGCTAGGTCAAACGTGGGTTTTAATGTTTTTTATACTAACAGTATCTACAGCTTGGCTAGGAACTCAAATCATATACAATAATAGAATAACAATTATTTTGATTAGAAAGGTTGCCAAACCTGGATATCTACAGAATGACAGTGTAATGGACAAATTTCACAATATTGACTATAAATGATAAAGGTGATGGTTTAAAGATGATGTGGACCCAAATGCCGACCTCATGAACTTTGCTAAAATTTACCATATGCATTTTTTTCTCTATCTTGAGAAAATATTTACATTCCCTGCAAACATAATCCTTTTTTTCTTGAAATCTTTTGGTTTGTTAAACATGACCAATAGATGACTTTCCAAGTAGCCTTTTATAGGTTAGGTCTAGTCATCCTACTAAGCTAGAGCTCAGCAATTTAAATTATAAGATAATAAAGTAAATGGGTTTTATTTTGAAACTTTCCCAAACTTAGAGTGACATAACAAGCCAAATTGCTGAAATTTAAGCGAATCATTCATAAGCCCAAATTTGAGGGGCTGGTCCTAATTTCTGTTATCATCAGCAGCATATCCAAGTTATTTTGGATTGACTTGATAAAGCCTATCATCTTTATAGAATTGTACATTAATTTTCCCACCACCAATGCCCAGTGTTATTTCACTGAAATTGAAATTGTTCACGAAATATAGCTACTAAACCATACTGCAGCTACGACTTCGATTTCATCATATTTAGGCCTATTCTAGATGAGCTTATTTTTAATAGAAAAAGAACATTATATTTCGTTTGGAAAGTTGATTTTAGTGATACCTGGTAAAAAGGTTCTCCTGGTAACAAGATGTGAGAAATGTTCATCATGCGGGATCCTTGGTCCCTGAACTTTTTAACTTGAGATCTTTATGCTTGTTATTCGGTATCAGATTTGTTGGCAAGCTTGTTGGCCGGTACTATGATAAGGATGGAAGCCCAACAAAACATTTGAAAGGGGTTGAAGCTAAGGCAAAAAGAGCTGCTCGGCTACAGGAAAAGCAGAAAATAGAAGAGGCTAAAATTCCAAGTTGCAATTCAAAATGGAGCCAGCAGGAGGGAGGAGAGGTATCGATTATCTTTCCTAACTCTATATGAAATCATGCATTACTTTACACCTTTTATTTTTTTGATGAATTCTTATGCTAAGAAATATTATTGCCTTTTTAAGTTACAAGTTTTACCTTCTTAAATACGCTTGATGTTGAATATATAAAAACTTGTTTCATCTAGGTGAGCAAAGGTGACTGCATGCAGTAGTTGAGAATAAATTCCAAACATTTTAAAATTACAATATTATACTGAAATCTTCTAGCATGCGTATTTGTATATTTGAAAAATTATGTGTTAATTCTTCAAATGGTAGCAAGAAAATTAAAGCTTATTTCTATCGTAATGTTTGGTTATGATAGTATTAGATGTGCACTATTTGTGTGCTCCCTTATGTGTAATGTAGCACTGGAAAGTATGTGCGCCCAAGGATAAGCCTTTTGACTTCGTTATGATGTGGGAACTTACAGGCTTTTACTTGATGTCCTTCAAAGTGATAGCTTGTTAGTAACCTGGTTGAGTTTTAATTTTTTTGAAGCATCATTGCCCAACTATCTGCTCTGCTTGTTAATTATTTTATAGGAAGATTTATCTGCATGCCACTAAAGTCCTATGTATTTACCTATTTGAGACCTAAACTTTAACTTTTATCTATATGCCACCTTACCCATGCATAAAAAGGTGACTTTCACTTTTTAAAAGTTGAAATAGCGGTATGTTTTGTCATTATCCAGTCTAATAGTTTAGAATTAACCAAGTCAGGAACTATGATCAAATAGTATTAACATTGCATTTACTTTCTATAGATTTTCATAATTTCTAATTTATAAAAGAGCCACCAAGAAACTACAAAATACATTACAAAAAAATATAAAATAAATCAACACCATATTTTACAAGTAAAATATCTCAAACTAGCCCACAACAATATCATTTCTTAAAAGTAAACAATACAATAAGTACAACCACAAAACACAGCATAATACCTATCAGTAGTAATCGTTCTCTTGTAAACTAATCCCTCATGTCAGACACATCAATCTATAATTTTTCCTGAAAGTTACAATTAAATTCAATAGTAAATTTTTCATCACTTAATGAACAATTATAATCTTATCATGCATTAAATTAATGTGAAAATACTATGCATGAATGTCCGAAGGATATGCAATTTATTGATGAATCAAAACAATAAACTTTCATTTCTAATTTGACCTTCCCATTTCAATATAAATATTTACTCTTTTTAACCTATTTAAAAATTCATATTAATATTACCGTCATACCCGAAAGTTTTCTCAAAAAGTTGTCCCCATAGGTATCTTAAAAAAAATATGCATGAAGGTACACCTTTACCATTTTTATTTTCTTTTTCGTGCACAGGAATATCATATCCTCTGCTTGTATCATCTGGGGATAATCCTGAATGAGTTAAGCTTTTTTATTTAATTTCCTTTACTTACCTCCATTTGAAGTCATTGAACCATCATTTTTCTTCTTACTATTTCTTTTCATTCATTTCAATAATTCTTAAGCTTATAACATGCTTATAATATAAAAATAACTGTCAGAAGCACTAAGACAAGTTTTTGTTTAATAAAACATCAATTTAATACAAATAATAAAGTATCAATTTAATACCAAAGTTCTGCTCAATGCAATGCATAAAGGAATTGAAGTTATTTTGAGTTGAACTGCCTAAATCAAAATCCTTATTTTGACTTTTGAGTAGATCAGAATTGATTTTGCATAACAAAATACAAGTGAAGGCTGGGTTAGAATTGGAATAGTCCTAATTGTTACGTCAATGTTCCATGCAAGATAATAAATTCACAAAATGCAATAAATAACTTGAACAAAAGAGCAAAATTTTAAGGAACTTTTGGAAAGAACATATGAGAATTTATAAAGATGGCTTCAAAAGTGAGAATGAGGCTAATGAAAAGTCTCTTCGCATAATCTTTAAGGTAGTTCCATGTCACGACCTAGATTAGGAGCTTGGATTACTAAGGCTGAAGCACTGACGGTCAGACAAAGGAAAACTATCCCATAATTTCATTTTGTAAATAAAATAATCTAAAACACAAAAGAGTTAATCTATTTCATAAAATTTTAATTTAATATAATTTATTCATATATAAATTTTTACAATTGACAGAATATAAAAACTAAAATAATTCCTATTTGCCTGATCTGATCGATGTTTATACACATTCTTTAGGATCCATCTATCCTATAACAGGTTTTTCTATAAAATATTAGCAAGCAAAGGCTTAAGTTAAATTGCTCAGTGGGCAAAATGTTCAAAATTACAAAATTCTCATTTTAAGTCATTTTGTAAAAGTAGTTGCAATTGCTTTCATAAATAAAATGAATTATTATAAAATAAAAACATATTTATTCATTTGTACTATGCAATTAAATTTTCTATTTCCTCAGTTCAATCTAATCTTTGGTGCGCCTATAGTAAAAAATTAGGCTTGATTAGCTTCTTTCAGTTCTATCTCTTTTTCATATGAATTCTAACTTAACTATTTAGACATTGTAGTTTGCACTTTATCTAATTTAATTATATATATATATATATATATATATATATATATATATACTCTTTAAAATTTTTAATTAAGAAGTTTTTGTAACACTTCTTGCTTAAGATGAAATTAGTTTATGCGTTAAATTTTAATACATATCATAATATTCAATATATAACATAAACCCTAAGGCGCTTAACATTTAATTTAAATCTCACCTAAAAAACATAAAAATTATAAAATTAGGTGTTTAATATTGTGCATGAATTTCGCACATGAAATTTCTTCTCTTTTTTCCTTCCTTAGCTTCCTTGCCAAATTCTTACATAAATTTTAACAAAATTAATTCATTTTCAATTTTAGGATTTTCTAAAATTAAATTTCAATCATTTAAATTTTTTTTTTTAAAGAGCATAAATCGGCTCTCGTTTTATTAATACAAAGAAAAATAACAACACCGGAAAAGAGGTGCTAACTCACACACCCTACAAAACACAATAAAAAAGGATCTCTTTCCAAAAAAGAAAAATAAAATACACCCACAAACTAAAAATACAAAACACCAAAGAAAAGACAAAAGAAAAGAACAAATCAAAAACAATTAAGAAACATCCAAAAAAGCAAACTGAACCAAAACAACAGGAATAGTTTTGGAAATCACAGTATAATTCAAATTAGATCCAAGCTTAGCTGCCCAATGAGCCACAAAGTTCCCTTCTCTCTCTTAGTATGATTCCATATGATATGTAAGTTCTTGGACATTCTTTTCATCTGCAGATTAGCACTCCAATGATGCTCATCCTGAAATCTGCAATACTTCCATAAAATTAAAGAGTCAGTTTCAAAAATAATAAATTTCCATCCAATTTTCTTAGTCACCTGAAGACCAAAAACCATCGCATCAGCCTCTGCAACCAGAGGAGATACAAGTACAACCTTAGCCGCAAACCAATAAAGAATAGAACCCATAGAGTCACGAGAAACACCCCCACACTAGCACTATTAGCCTTCCAGCAACCATCAATATTAATATTAATATAAGGTGCACAAGGTTTACACCAATGCAACAAAGTAATATTCTTATTAGAGGAGCAAACATGAATAGACAAATTATGCATCATACAAGCCATCCTACTCGTAATCTTCTTATTAGGGGTCAAAAATTTGATTCCTTTCAGAAGAAAAGATAAAATCTTGCCAACCGTGTGAAGAGTATTAGCCTCACCATTTCTATACTTAATATCATTACGAGTAAGCCAAACAAACCACATAATAACAGCAGAGATAACAACAAATAAACCATTGCCTTTATGTCTCCAGGAATGTAAAATATCAAAAATTCTAGCATACTGAGAAAAGGAATTCAGCGATTTTAATTTCATTGTAACTCAATTCCAAATCTCCATGATAAATATACAACTAGAAAAAAGGTGAAGACTAGTCTCCTCATGATTCCTACAGAGAACACAACAAGAAGGAAGTTGTAACCCCTTCAACTTAAGCAAATCATCAGTAGGTAAAAAATAATCATCAGTAGGTAAAAAATAATCATCAGTAGGTAAAAAATTATGCAAAACTCTCCAAACAAAGAAAGATATGGAAGGTTTGACCCATGGATTCCAAATCCAACAAAGATCCAAACCCTGAAAGTCCGGAAAAAAGCTAGCTAGGCTTTTAGCAACAGAATCACCCATCTCACCTTTGATCTTAGGTACATCATTGCTACCACTGTTAATAGGGATAGAAGATATAAAAAGAGCATCATCATTATGAACAATCCTATTAAGCTCATTAAAACACCAACGATTCTCATACCAAAGATCCTTGACTTTAATATCAATAGCCACAGGACCACCATAAGAATCAACTAAAGCCCCCTTCCCCATCCAATCATCAAACCAAAAAGAACAATCACCTTTACCAATATCCCAACAAATAAGATCATTAGTAATTCTGACAACTTTAAGCATTTCATGCCAAATAAAAGAATATTTCTTATTATAAGTAGTAGAAAGAGGATGTCTATTCAAACTATATTTAGCATGCATTAAAGTAGCCCAAAGAGAATTATTCTTACAAAATCTATACCAACGCTTCATATAATTAATCTTAATAGAATCAACTAAGCTACGAAAACCAAGTCCACCCTTCTCAATGGGTTTACAAAGCTTCTGCCATCTAGTCCAGTGCATCTTAGTATTACCATTACCTTCCCAAAGAAATTTATTAAAGAGATTTTCAATCTTTTTAATAATACACTGGGGAATATCCATAATTTGCAAAGAATAAAGAGGAAGAGAAGTAATAATACTTTTGAGAAGAGTGACATGACCTCCAGAAGAAAGAAATTTATTTTCCCAAGATAAAATCTTATGTCTGATTTTATCAAATAAATTTAAACAAAGGCTACTTCTCATTTTGCCTTTATTAAAAGTGAAAACCAAATAGTTCAGAGGCAGCATAGCTTTATTGCAACCAGTATAA